TTTTTTTTTTTTTTTTTTTTTTTTTTTGTCTTTTTGAGACAGGGTCTTGCTATGCAGTCAGGCTGGCCTTGAACTCACTTCGTAGGCCAAGCTGGTCTCGAACTCACAGTGATCCTTCTGTGTCAGCCACCTGAGTGCTGGAATTATAGGAGTGCACCATTATTTATTTATTTACTTATTTTTAAGACAAGGTCTTGGGGCTGGGGATGGCTCAGTAGAATAAGCGCTTCTCTGACAAGTGCAAGGGCCTGAGTTCAATCCCCAGGGAGAATAATTTATTCCGCAAAAAAAAAAAAAAAAAGAAAAAGTCTTTAGGTCTTTTTGTAGTCCAGGTTGGCCTTGAACTGACATGTAACTCAAGTTGGCCTCAAACTTTTGGCAATCCTCCTGCCTCACCTTCCCAAGTGCTGGGATTATAGGCATGTTCCACCATGCCCAGCTGAAAGCCACATTCTTAACACCTATACCAGATTTTTAAAAATCTATTCATTTAGTACAGGGTCTGACTACACAGCTCAGACTCATAGTGATCCTCCTATCTCAGCCTCCCCAGCGCTGGGATTATAGGCGTGTGCCACCATGCCCGGTTTCGGAGGCTGGCTCAGCGTGCCTGGGGTTCTGGGGCTGGCACAGCATGCGGTACCACGGATCAAACCCAGGTCCTTGTGCTTGTCAGGCAGGTGCTTAGACTGCTGAGCTGTCTCCCTGGCCCCACTAGATGTTTTTAACCCTGACTGTGCCTAAAAATTACGTATGAACTTTGTAAAAGTTATGCTGACACTCAAGATAGTGGTTTAGCAGGCCTGAAATATGATCAGGCATTTTTTGAAGTTTCTTTGGTGATTCTACAGAGCTACCAGGGCCTTGAAAGAAAGGCATGTACTAGGGATGATTCCATATGCCTGTAACCTCAGCCCTCAGAAGGCTGAGCCAGGAGGATCAGCAGGTGTTTGCGGCCAGTCTGGGCTATGTAGTGAATTTAAGGCCATCATGAACTACCTGTCTCAAATACAAAACAAAGAATACATGTTGTAATCACTGTTGTATGAACTGTAATAGTTAACATTTCTTGAATGCCCGCTCTGTGCTGGACACGAGTCCAAACAAGTTCTTTACACACAGGAGCACATTTGGTGCCTTCTGGGCTGTGAGACACCATTTTACAGATGGAGACATTGAAACGCGAAGAGGGGAACAGCCTGCCACCAGTCCCAGCACTGGGAAAGAGACCCTGCCTCCAGTCCCCCCGGCATGGGGCAGTACCTCTGCGGAGGAAGGGGATGTGGTCATCTTCCACAGAGCCGGGCGGCTCCCCAGGCTGGAAGTACATCACTTCCTGGGGATGAGCCTGCAGCAGGTTTAGGCGGTGTAGACGCTTCTCTGTAGAGGGCAGGAGTGAGAAGCAAGACTTAGTTCCCAGCAGTCAAAGGTGTCCTGTTCATGGATCACAGGACAGAGGTCCCAGAGATAAAGCACTAGTCATCCGAACATGAATGAAGGGTTTCTCCTTCCTGCAGTTGACTATGTTCCTGGTCTGTCTTTTTTTTTTTTTTTCCTGGTCTGTCTTAATCCCTCTGGTGTAGAGGTAGGTTGTGATTAGGACCATGCCCATTTTACAGAGAGGAAACCGAGGCTCATACTGATGAAGCTTCCTAACCCAAAAGGTAAGAAGCAGACACACAACTTGAAACCAGAGCTCTCTCACACCAGGGCAGCTAATTTATAATCACTAGGCTTGAAGGATTTTTTTTTTGGGGGGGGCTGGCTCAGGATGCCTTAAGGGCAGGTCTGGTAAGGCATGAGGATCTGGGGATTGAACCACAGATTCCTGAGCCTGACTCTTGCTTACGCAGGCTCTTAAAACAACTGAGCTAATGGGCAGGCCCCCAATAGCAATTTCTTTTCTTTTTTTTTTTGTGGAACCGGGGATTGAACTCAGGCCCTTACGCTTGCCAGGCAAGCACTTACTATACTGAGCTATCTCCCAGCCCCCCTTATAATCACTATGCTTGACCTTCATGGGGTGAGTGTAATTCTTCCCTGCTTCCAAAGAGAGACTAGGGAGGTGGGGGGAATGTTAGATGAGCCCCTAGAGGACAAGTGTCTGACCCTCCATCCTTCCCACATGCCAGAGTGCTGCCTGGCTCTGCCTTCACACTTACCAATGCTCCGCAGCCGATGGAACCAGCGGACTGTGGGGGGGAAGTGACTGTAGAAGGTTGGACTGGCGGCTCCCAGGAGATCAAGCAGCATAAAGAGCTCCTAGGGAGAAGCCAGGACTGGAGGGGGCTCAGCGGGACCCTGCCAACCCCACTGCACCTTCTCCTCCCCTCCCTAGAACCCAGCAGGACCCTGGTCTTACAATGGCCTGGATCCTGGTGGGGCCAGGACTGTGGGGCATAGACGCCATGAGCTGGGCGAGGTGCCGGGAGCCATAGAGAGAGTCCTTGGGTCCCCACTCCTTCAGCGCTTCTTCACCATCCAAGAAGAGCAGCTGCAGGGTCACTGGGGCTGCCTGGGTGGGCAGGTGGCCAGGGCCAGTTCAGCATGGGCCCTTGGCACCAGCCCACCCATGTGCCTTGCTGCCTTGCACGGCTGGACAGGACAGACTAGGTGTCCTTTGCAGTACAATGTGGGGCCAAGAGCCAGATGAAGTCAGGCAGCTTGAGCTCAAATCCCCAGCCAGATGCTTCCTAGCAGTGTAGATACAGGTAAGTTATCAACTTCCTGAAACATCAGCTTGATCATCTATCAATGGGGTGAATGACAGTTCTGTTCATAAACAGGACTCAAATCCAGGGTTTACAACAGTGGCTGGTACATAAGAACTAGATATGGGTTAGATCTGATAATTTTTCCTCAAATTCAGTTTGGCAAAAAAAGAAAAAAAAAAGAGACCCACAGATAATGGCACAAAGTGAAATGCAGTTGGGAAAAGGCTTCCAAGAACGACAAGGTTCTGAGAGCCCAAGAAGGGGCTTAGCAGGATGGGGTAAGAAGGGCTCTCTCTGGTTCTCTTGGCAGGGATGGGGGCATGCTGGGGCAGGGGGGAGAGGAGTCCCAGGCAAGGGAGCAATATGGACAGAACTGGATTCCCCAGAGCCCAGGGGCGCTTAGCAAGGGCCAAGGGGTTTGGGCTTTGTTATAGGGGCACTGGGGAATCCCTGGAAGGGAGTAGAGGAGGGGAGAAGCAGGATGTGATTTATACATGCATTCATTCTACAAATTTGTACTGACATCCCATTTTATGCCAGGCAATATTCTGACCAAAGGGATACAGCAAGAAACAAAAGAATCTTGAGTCCCTGCTTTCATGGAATTTAGCTAAGAATACAGCCAAATCAACAGAAAACATTCTCAAGGAAAAGAAAGAAATGTGGGCACCACACCCAGATGAAGAGATAACTTGGGAATTGAAACCTGAATAAAAGGTAAGAGCTAGTCAAGGAGGAGGAGAAAACGATTGATCAAGACAAGGTCTCACTATGTAGCCCAGACTGGCCTCAAACTCTGCAGGTCATAGACTGGGATTGTACAAAGCAGCCTCCTGCTTTCTACAGGCACCATGGTGGTTTAAAGCAAAAAACATTCTGCCACTGCTGGGCATAGTGGCATGTACCTGTAATTCCAGCACTTGGAGGCTGAGGCAGGAGATTCGCTACAAGTTCAAAGCCAGCCTGGACTACATAGTGAAACCCCCATCTCAAAAACACATTCTATGCATAGCTGAGAGCAAGTGCAAATGTCCTGAGGTGGGCTTGTGAGATCAGAGGGTAGGTGTGACTGCAGAGAACGAATGAGGGGTGAAGGGCAAGAGATGAAACTAGAGGGGAAGAGCCAGCGAGACAGCTCAGCGGACTAAGTGCCTGCTTAGGTAAGTGCAAGGCCAGGGTTCGCTCCCCGGCACCATAGTCCACGCCAGCCCCGCCCCAGGTGCACTGAGCCAGTGACCAAGTCCAGGTGTGATGGCGTGCGCCTGTAATCCCAGTGCTGGGGAGGCTGCAAACAGGAGGATCACTACAAGTTCCAGCTGTGTAGTGAAACCCTGCACAAGAAAAAAAGAAAAAGAAACTAGAGGGGTAACCGGTCACACCTCAGGGTACACTCTAAAGACTGGCTTATGCTTGGAATCATGGGGAGCCATGAGAGGTTTGGGCAGAGGCAAAAAGATCTGACATTCAGAAGACAAGGAGATGAGAGAGACAAGGAAGAAGGTGGATGCAAGGACCGGCATGGATGTGGCCCACACCTCCCCCATTCCCATTCCTCACCTGCTGCTTGGCCCTGCTCAGCGGCAGATCTAGGGCCTGGGCCAGCTCCAGTAGCAGCGCACAGGGCACAGCTGAATCCGTGGCTCCCACAAATGGGGCTGAGCCCGGGGGGAAGAGCTTCGAGTCATAATGGCAGGCAAGGGTAAGGTGACGGGCTGCCCCTGGGTCCAGCGTAGCCACCACGTTCCCAAAGTCCAGTGGCCCCAGAGGTGTTGAGGCTGTGAAGGGATCCAGCTCCACATGCCAGCCAGCTGGCAGGGCCCGCAGTGTGGCTTCCAAGAACTAGTGACAAGAGAGAGGTGGGAAGATGGACAGGGACTGGGGAGTGCTGGGGAGAAGGGCCATGTGACCTGAGCCATTGGGAGCAGTTGGGTGGACTCCAATGTCCAATTTAGGGTTCAGTTATTCCTTTGACTTCTGCCCAGTACCTACTGGTGCCAGGTGTTGGGGTGACCCTCCTCCTGGTGCCAACAATGTTAATCATGGCTTATTCTTCAAGAGCTGTTTTTATGCACCAAGCCTTGTTCTAGGAGCCTCTAGCGTACAGAATGCCAGTGACTGACCTCACTTTGTAGAGGAGGAAACTGAGTCCCAAAGAGGTGAAGAAACAGCCTTATGCCACAGTGCATATCTGTAACCCTAGGCTGGTTATATAACTAGCACAAGCTCTTGCCTGGCAAGCTGGCAAGCACAAGGCCATGAGTTCGATTCCAGGTACCAAAAATCAAAGGAAAAAAAAAAGTCCTAAAAGATATAATCCTAGCACAGGGGAGGCTGAGGTCAGTGGTTTGCAAGTTCAAACCCAGCCCCAACAATTTAGTGACTTAGAAGGACCGTATGAAATTTTTTTGAAAGGGGTGGTGGTGTACCTCAGCTCAGTGTGAAGGCCCTGGGTTCAATTTCCAGTACCACCACCACCACCACCACCAAAAAAAGGTGAGAAGGGACCAGACACAGTATTTGGAAGGCAATGTAGTAATGTGACACTTCTTACTAGCTGTGGAACCTATGCAAAAATGTATAATTTCTCTAGCCTCAGTTTCACCATCTGTGTGAAGACCACGCTGGTTCTCCCTGTCTGCAGCTATCGATCGCTTGTCGATAGCACATACTTAGCTTTGGGTGGAAGTGCAGTTGCTGGTTATGTGGGACTCTAGAGTCAGACTAACTCCTGACTCTAGACTAACTTCTGCCCTTTATCTCTTTTGGGACCTTGGACAGCTGGTCTATTTCCCATTTCCTAGAGGGCTGGGGAATCGGGTGGTCAGAACCTGAGATAGGGTGAGATGCCTTCTTTACCTTTCTGACTTGGAGATTACCAGGGCTACCCGGGGGCCGCACAATCAACAGAGGACGCAGATAAGTGACCCAGAGCCTCTGCGGATCCAGTTGTGCCACCACCGTCCGCAGCTTGGCTTCTGGGAGGTTTCCAACCAGTGGAGCCTTGGGGGTTGGTAAGATAGGGAAAAGAAGATGAGAGCAATCCCCTATTCCAACCTTACACCCGACAGCGTTGCTGCCATGAGCCCGGAATCCTCTTGATAATTAATGAGTAGCCTTCAGTATGTAGGCTAAATCCTAGACTCGGGAAAGGTCCCTCCAAGCCCTTCGGATCAAAGCTACCGCAATCCTGATGGACAAATCAAAATCTAGTTGGAGGAAGGGGGTCTTCCAAAAATTGACTTGACATGTGGAATCCCGACCTCCCAAACTCACTGCAGCCCGGCAGACCTTTCCTCTTAAGGGGAGCTGCTATTACTGGAGCTTCTTGGATATGGAGCATGCGCTCAAATGACAGTGAAAGAAGGAGACACCGGCGGTTTGGGTGACAAGGTACAGACACGTCAACCTGAGACTCTAGAAGGGGAAGTGGGAAATAAGGGTCCCCGGAGCCCCAACGGGCCTCACCCGCAAATCCCGGGCCCTTGACAGCTCCTCAGTCCCGCGGTACCAGCCACTCCAGATGATGTAGAACGCCAAGCCCGCGGCCATGGCCAGCAGCAGGGGCAAAAGCCGCACCCGCGGCAGCAGGCGGCGCTTGGGCAGTGAAGGCGGCTCTAGGAGGCCGCGTTCGCCGAGCCGCAGGCGGGGCCGCCCGCGGCCTCCGGAACGCATGGCAGCCGTACCTGAAACGTGTACCGCGCCACGGAAAGAGTTCAGGCTCCGCCAAGTTCCACCCAAGAAATCACAAAACCAATGAGCAACAAGGGCGGCTGCACGTCCCACCCGGCGAGCCTAGAAACCAATGGCATCCTGAAGGCCCGCCTCCCTGCCGCCCGGGTGTTGGCTTTGGCTTCGCTCAGGGTTGCACAACCCAAAAGGGAGCGGGAAAGGGGTAGGGACCGCTTCCAAGCGGAGAGAGCCAATGAGCTGCGTTTCATCGTAGAGACCACCGCACGTCCCACACAGGTCCAGGACTGTTACTGCCAGGTCGGAAAGATCAGTGACTACTTAAAGGAACCGTACAGGAAGGAAAAAGGGCGGTGCGCATCCCTGAAGCTACGAGCGGATTGGCTTCGCCGAGGCCGCGCCTCCAAAGAGCAGGCTGGCGTGTCGCTTCCCTCCTTTCGCCTACACTTTTCTACCGCAAAACGATTTGAGTCGGGCTCCCTTTATTTTTCCTCTCCATTGTCGTGAACATCTGACTTGTGTTGTGCTTAGTGGCTTCGAACCACGATATCCGGTTTTTGCCGCAGCACAACGCGACTAGACGGTAACCATGGCAACAGGCCACGCCCCCACCTGCTTTTGAGTTTGCGCAGGCGGTAACGGAAGTGAGACACAGGAAGAGGAAGTCCCGCCCCGCCCCTTTTCTCCGAGGCCGGAGCTACGCGAGCGAGACGGGAGTAACGCGGAGGTTGCAGCTGCCACCATGTGAGACCCGGCGGGGTTTAAACGGCGGGAAGGAGGTTGAATGTGTAGACTCGGCTAATGAACTGTGCGAGAGGATGAGACGGGCCGGGATGCGGAGGCAGAGATTAGGGATAAAATGACGCGCTTTTCTACTGAGGGGGTTCGAGCACGGCTATAGGGCCTTTAATGGGTCGTGAGTTGTGGAAAAGGGACATCTTAATCACCTAACGGGTTCTTGTTATGTGACGAATTTTAAGGGGAAGCGATTTTTAAGAATAAAGAGCCCGGGGGAGGAAAATGAGGTTTATTATTAATAACGACTTGAAGCAAGGGAGGTATCAGGGTAATTTAAGCTGCTGGCTGGTGGCTTTTGGACCTCATTTGCTACTCTGACAATAATGAACCACTAGAATGATTTTGTTGTTTATTTGTTTGGTAAATATTACGTTGAGCGTTCACGTGTCAGGCACAGCATTAAACACATGGGATACATCAGTGATTGAAAGGGCCACATCCCCAAGAAAAACATGTCCTGCTATGGGTTGTGAGGCGAGCAAAGTACGCAGGCCATAGAATAATAAAGGAGTATGTAGTGTGTTGAAGGTGTGGGACTGTTACCACACAAGTAGTTGAGCATGCCTGTAATTCCAGCACTTAGGAGGCTGAAGTAGGACGCTTTTCACGAGTTCGAGACCAGCCTGAAATAGTCTAGTAGTGCAACAGTGGGAAAAGAAAGCAGTGTAGTAACTGTCATAAAAGGACACATTGAGAAGGAAGCAGGAACCTGAAGAAAGCGAGGGGAGTGAAGCATACAGATAGCTGTTGGTTCTGACAAGGGTAAAGAAGAGGCCTTAAGATGGAAGTTTGCTTCCTGTCTTCAAAAGACCACTGAGGAGGCCACTGGCTGGAACAGTATGATAGAGGAGGCAAATGTAGGGCAGTGGGAAACTTTGGTTTTTATTTTGCACTGAGATGGGAGCTATGGGAAGGCTTAAAAGGGTGACATGGGTTTTAGCACAATCCTCCACACTGGTCTGTAAAGAACAGGCCATCAGAAACATGGGTGGAGGCAAGGAGACCAGGAGGGAGATGATGGACTTTTATGGCATAAAAAAAAAAAAAAAAGACCAGAGTCTGGGTATACAGTGGGGTAGCCAGATTCATATACATAACGTGTTCCACTATTCTGGTCAAAACCTGAATTGGAGAAGAACCAAGTCAAATTCAGTGGTAGGTTCAGTGTTGACCTTATGGGGAAATTTGGTTCTAAAAATTAGGATTTGCCAATAAGATTTAACACAGGATATGAGAGAACAAGAGATACCTCATGGACATCAAGAGTATTGACCTAAAAAAATGAAGGGAATGGAGTTGCTGTGAGTGGGGTTTGAAAGCACTGGATGGAGAAGGTTGGAGAGGTCAGGTGATCGGGAGCACAACTCTGTGACAGAGATGGAAGTGTCTATCAGGTATCAGGTGCTTGTGCCCAGAGAGAAGATTCAGGTATCAGTGTGGGCTCTGGGGCAAGGTTGGGGAGACAAAGCCATGACCAGCCATGCTCCCAGCGTTAGCCGCTCTCACCCATGGGTCCATCCTTGCCTGTTCAGGAGCCTCCTCAACAAGCCCAAGAGTGAGATGACCCCAGAGGAGCTGCAGAAGCGGGAGGAGGAGGAATTTAACACGGGTCCACTTTCTGTGCTGACCCAGTCAGTCAAGAACAACACCCAGGTGCTCATCAACTGCCGCAACAACAAGAAACTGCTAGGCCGGGTGAAGGCCTTTGACAGGTAAGCACTGAGGACTTGGGAGGCATCATGTCCAGGTCCAAGGACGCAGCCCCAGCTCATGTCTGAAGAACTTGAAGAAAGATTTCTTAGAAGTTTGTGGATGCCAGTAATCCCAGCACTGGGGAGGCTGAGGCAGGAGGATCACCAGGAGTTCAAGGCCAGCCTGAGCTACATAGCCCTGTCTTTTTTTTTTTTAAAGCTTGGGTGTCCAGTAGGCAGAAACACATGGATTTATTTATTTGAGAGAAGCTTTTTAAAACCATGAATGAGCAGTGGCTGTCCCCTGTGCCCCTCCAGCTGTCCACACGTGTGTAGTAGCCAGCCTGTTGGGCTTGTGTCCCAACTGTGTTTCATAGCAGCCAGGTGCCTTTTGGTGCGTGACTTTCTGGTCTGTATGTGGCAGTAATTGTGGGTACTGAGTACGACATACAAAACTGTCAGTTTCACAGTTACATAGTTAGTGCATCTACTCATCAAGGGACTTTTAGCCTCTGGACACAGCAGTGACTAAAACAAACACAGTTCCTCTATCCAGGGAGCTTATTCTGTTAGTAAGGAAACGGACAGCAAGCATATACATATGTGTGATAGGTATGATGGGTTCTGTGAAGAAAAGCAAACCCAAGTCACAGTACAAAGTTTTGGGAAGGCGACACTGTCTCATACAGGATGTTCGCAGAGGCTCTGCCTGAAGGAGCGATGCAGACAGACCCAAGTACAATGAAGCTGCAAGCTGAGGTCTTTGTGGATAGCCAGAGGGATCAGCAAGTGATTTTTCCTTTCCGGGTTTCAATTTTTTTTACTGGAAAAGTAGATGTAATACCACCCTTCATTCAACAGTTGTAAGAGCCGGGAAGCTAGCTCAGTGGCGTAATTGCCTGCCTGACTAGCACAAAGCCCTGAGTTGTAAGAATAAATGACGAACCTGGGCATGCTAGCATGGTGTGGTGGCCCGAAATCCCAGTGCTCCAGGAGGTTGAGGCAGAAGATCAAAAGTTCAAACTTAGCCTGGGCACCCTAGTGGCTTAGGAGGGTAAGACCCTGTCTCCAAACTAAGAAAAAAAAAAACCCTGGGGATATAGCTCAGTGTGAAGGCCCTGGGTTTGGTCCCTAGGGCAGCCAGAAAAAAGAACAAATTACAGCACTCGTGAAAAGCTCTTGACTCTGTACTGAACACATAGTAAACACTTAATAAAATATTTGTAACTTTTGGCCCCTCCCCTCAGCACTGGGGAGTGAATCCAGGAGCTTTCTACCACTGAGCTAACCCCACAGCCTGTCTGTCTGTCTGTCTGTCTGTCTGTCTGTCTGTCTGTCTGTCTATCTGTCTATCTGTCTATCTACATACCTACCTACCTACCTACCTATCTACCATTGAGACAGGGTCTTACTGAGTTGCCCAGGCTTGCTTCTAACTTGTAATCCTCTTGCCTCAGCCTCCTGATCAGCTGGGATTACAGTTGTGTGCTGCTGTGTGTGGCTATAACTTGCAGGTTTTTATTAGCATCTGGGAAGTGCTGTCCTCACACCAGTGTGAGGCTAAATTTGAGAAGTTCCTTGCCGCTGACTGATGTGTGACCCTGACCTGGTCTTTCGCTCTGAGCCTCTTGCCATTTGAGACAGATGAGGACAACAACAGGAAACACTGAGCACAGGAAGTCAGTAGACCTGGCCTCAGACACAGGCTCTAGGACCGGAGAGATGGCTCAGTGGAATAAGCGCTTCCCTGGCAAGCGCAAGGGCCTGAGTTCAATCCCCAGTTCCGCCAAAAAAAAAAAAAAAAAGAGACACAGACTCTACCACCCCTAAACTGTGTAACCTTGGATAGGTCGCTTTATCCCACTGTTCCTCAGTTTCCTGCTCTCAGACCTGGAGGTAATAGTGTTTTGTTTTGTTTTGTTTTTCCTTTTGCAAGGTGCACACACAACCGACACACATTTAAGAACATCACGGCAAATCAGTTAAGTCAGATGTTAGCACGCACCTCCACATTTACTTACCTATTTGTGTTACTTTCTTGAGGGGCAGTGTTTGCAGACCAGGCAGAATTTCAAGCCTAAATAAAAGGTACCCAGTGAAACGTTTCTCTGCTCTCTTGCCCCCAGCCACCTCCTCAGGGACCATGGGGGTGGCTAATCTCATGGCTCTTCTCCCAGGAATCGTCACAGCACCGTACACATGGAAAGATGCAAGGGCCTTCTATTGTTCGTTTTAAATCAGTGTTAGTGAGACATCAATTTTATTTTATTTTATAGTTATTTATTTGTTTGTTTGTTTGTTTATTTTGCTGTACCAGGGATTGAACTCAGGACCCTGCGCTTGCCAGGCAGACACTTATTCTACTGAGCTATCTCCCCAGCCCCAAGACATCAGTTTTAGACCATGGCTTTTTTACTGAATAAAACTTGAAAATTTCCACCATTGAGAATGCTACTTTTAACCTGCTGTTTTCTGAGCTGTTGATATATTCCCATAATTCCCAAAACTAATAATAACCCAATGAAACATTTTCCGGGCCCATGCCCAGTGTGCCCAGCCTACCCTTGGCCCCTACTTTTCCCAAATCTTCCAGCAGCCATTATAGTGACACAAGTCTTTAATCCTGGCACTTAGGAAGCTGAAGCAGGAAAATTGCTGTGAGTTTGAGGCCAGTCTAAACTACATACTGAGATCCTGTCTCAAAAAAAACCCAAAACTTTTTCACAGATACTGCATTGTATAAGTGCACAAGCAGTCTTAGGCAGAGTGCATCGGCTGGGGTTCGATCCCCAGAATGCCGGGCTGGCCCTGCCCCCAGGGCATGCTGAGATGGATGATTGGAAGTGGGCATGGTGGCCTGTGCCTGTAATCCCAGCACTTGGGAGGCTGAAAACAGGAGAATCACTACGAGTCTGACTATGTAGTGAGACCCTGTAGACCCTATACTAAAATACAAAAAAAAAGGGGGCTGGTGAGATGGCTCAGTGGTCTAAAGTACCTACTTAAAACAAGCTTAGCAAAGCACAGGGACCGCAGTTCAATCCCCCAGCACCACATGCCAGCCAGCCCCGCCCCCTGGTGGGCTGAGCTGGCCACACACACATAAATAAATAAATAAATAAATAAATAAATAAATAAATAAATAAATAAAATAAATTTAGAAAAAAAAAAAAAAAGTGAACAAGCAGTGTGTGTGCTCCCAACCCCTACACCCTCTGCCGTGTTTTATTTTGTTTTGCTTTGCTTTGTGGTGCTGGAAATGGAACCTGAGGCCTTAGTGCTGAGCGGCCCCCAGCCCCCTGCTAATTTTCCTGCTGGATGTAGGGGCCAGGGAGATAGTTCCTGCTGGATGTAACTTTCTGTGCATGCTGGTCCCTAGCCTGCCTTCTCACTTCAGGGTCTCCTGGAGATTCCTGCAGAGCAAAACAGAGAGCATGTCTCTAGTCTTCTCTTCTTTATTCTTTTATTTCTTTTCGAGACAAAGGGTTCTCACTATGTAGTTCACGCTGGTCTTATGAACTTGGAATTTTCTTATATCAACTTCATTTTTCTTTTACTTCAGCTTCTTGAATGGAGTGCTAAGATAATAGGTATACACCTTGCCTTCTGTCTCTCTTCCTGCTCAGTAATATTCCTATCAGATGTATATACTTTGGCTAGCTGAAACCAGCAACCTCTTTAAGAACTAAATGAGGAGCCGGGTGTGGTGGCACATGCCTCTAGCTTCTAATCCCAGCACTCTGGAGGCTGAGGCAAGAGGATCATTGCGAGTTTGAGACCAGCCTGGGCTACAAAGTGAGCTCAAAATGAGCCAGCCTGAGCTGTTCAGTGAGACCCAGTCTCAAAAAAACCCAAAAAAGAACTAAATGAGGGGCCAAGGTATAGCCTGGTGGTACAGTCCCTGCCTGGCAAGTGCAAGGTCCCAAGTTCAATTCCTAATAACACCCTCTCAAAAAAAAACATAAAACCTCATACCAAGAAACAAACAAACAAAAAAATGCTGTCTGGGAAAACAAAAACAGAAAGTGAAAAGAATTTACAGATGTGGCATTGGCAGGACAGCCCTCCTGGCCCCAGGCCTGGGCTCTGAGCCAGTGCCGCCGGCAGGGTCAGAAGCCCCCACCCTCACTCCTCTGCCTCCCTCCCCGCCTCTGCCTCACCAGGCACTGCAACATGGTGCTGGAGAATGTGAAAGAGATGTGGACTGAGGTCCCCAAAAGCGGCAAGGGCAAGAAGAAGTCCAAGCCAGTCAACAAGGACCGCTACATCTCCAAGATGTTCCTGCGTGGGGACTCCGTCATCGTGGTGCTGCGGAACCCGCTCATCGCTGGCAAGTAGGCGCCGCCTCTCTGCTTTCAGGACCCGCTCCAGCCCCATGAAGACTTGTCCTTGAAGACCTGTCCTTGAAGACCTGTCCTTGAAAACTTGTCCTTCATCACTGTATTGATAATAAAGTGCTATGTGGTTTTTTTCCCCCTGTCTTAGTGGCATCTGTATCCCCAGGCCCGTGAGTGGGAAGGGCTGGAGGGAAGCCGGGTGTAGGGCTAAGTGCTGAGCCAAGGCCCTGAGCAGACGGAAGGCACTGTCTGCCCCATCAGGCCTGCTGTTCCCATTCATACGGGGCATAGGTTAGGGAGAAATGTCCTTGCTTGAAATTGTTTTGGACTTTTTTTTTTTTTCCCTTGTTTATTCCATCAGCAAACATTCCCCGAATGTCTCATTGTGCCCAGCCCTATGTTGCAAAGCTAGGGACACATGAGCCAGGGAGATGGCTCCATAGAATAAGTGCTTGCCTGGTAAGTACAGGGGTCTGAGTTAAATCCCTGGTTCCACAAAAAAAAAAAAAAAAAAAAGCTAGGGACCAGTGATGTCCTAGAGCACCCTGCGAGCTCTGTGAAAGGTGCCTAGATGCACACTTAGAACACTCAGTACCCGAGTCCCAGTAGGGGCCGTGGTCAAGCTGCCAGGGTGCCAGGCTCCCCTCTGTTTGGATGTCCTGCTCCTGCTGGCAGTTCCAGGGCAGGCACGTGTGCACACACACACACACAGAACTGGGGGTTGAAATTATTGGCCTCAGGGCCTTCACACTGAGCCACATCCCGAGTTCATTTTTATTTTTTAATTTTGAGACAAAGTCTTGCTAAGTTTCCCAGGCTGGGCTGGAACTTGGTCCTTTTGCCTCCACCTCTCAAGTGCTGGGATTACAGGAGTGTGCCCTGTGCCCAGCAGCCATTTATCCCTTTATTTTCTAGGAGAGGGAAGGGAGGCACAGAGGGGTGGTATCCCTTCCCAGGAGCACCAATCCAGGAAATGATAACGCCTGATTCAAACTCTGCTTCTGGACTGTGGCCTCACCCGAGCCCCCAGGAAACAGGCCGGCGAGGAAGGCGCTTTTGCTCCCCTGTACACAGGGTATGCTGTCCCACCTGTGGCTCTCGTCTGCCCTCCAGGTAGGGCCAAACTGCAGGTAGTTGAGGCTGGCCTGGAATTGGGCAGCCCCCTTGCCGCAGCCTCCTAAGTGCTGGGAACCCACTGTGCTTCCAGTTGCACTCAAATCATGGAAAGCACAGTCCCCTGGAGCCCTCGAGGCCAAGCTGGGGAGTCTGCAGCTGCAGAGAGAAGGTCTGACAGGCAAGGCTGATGAAGGCAGTGTTTACTGAGCAGCCTCCATCTAAAGGAACAGCTTGCACAGGGTAGATACTGGAGTCATCCTATTATACACATGAGGCAGCAAAGGCCTCATGAGGGCAAGTAAAATAACTTCTGGCATCGCCCAGGTGGAGCACGGGAAAGCTGCGTCTCACCTAGGGGGCCAGCAGTCTGACCTGGCAGATGTGAGTGGGTGGGAGCAGGCCGGAGCTCAACATCCTAATCTCTAACTCAGGGCAAAGGTGTGTGTGGAGCTGCTCCTCCTCAGGTTTTTGTGCGAGGCAAACCTAGTGTAAACCTGGGCGTCCCAGTCCCAGAATCCCTGCCCTCATTCCATAGTTGCTGACTTGAACTACCAGGAAGCGGAATGGGTTTGCCTGACTTGCAGACTGGCATTGGAGTATGAGGTCTTGGGGACCCTGGCTGGCATCTGTCTCAAGCTCCTCATCTCTGCCCCAATTCACCTGCCACCTGGAGGGCTGGAAAGCAAACCAGACAGCACGGGAGTATTGTGTGGGCACACACTGACCTACACCACACCTCGGTGGACTCGGGCCCTAGGATGTGGGCGTCATCATTGTACCCACCTTCCAGAAGTGGAACTGAGGTAGAGAGGGAATTCTCCCAGGTGGCACAGCTAAGAAGTAGTCTGTGACAGGAACCCAGCTGTACCCATGGCATCACTGTCCCCCTATGGTCTTTCAAGAGAAGCAGCCCTCCAAAAACGAGGTGCACACACATAGATCATTTAAATCTATGTCTTATGTAGTTTATTGTGAGGAGACTACATGGAGTGTTCCCACCGGGATTCTCAGGCAGGGGGTACTGGCAGCACAGGGTCCATGTTTCCTTGTGGCATGGCTGAGGGGGAGCAAGGCCACTGCCAGCCCCCAGCAGCCATGCAGCCCTCCTCAGTCACTTCCCTTTGTGGCCTGGCCACAGAGCTGCTCCTATGTCAGACATTTAAAAAGCAGTTTCTGCTGATTTATATGCCTGGGCCCGACCCTTAGGCCCCCTCACAAAGGGGTGCAGTCTGGAGTATAGCAGGGACATAAGCTTGAGAAGGCTCCAAGTTCAGCGTGGGGCACATCCATCTAGGGAGGCAGGCTCTGGAGTGGCGTCTTGCATGTGGATGGAGCCAGGACAAGACCTTGGGTTTGTCCCGCACTTCCCCAGTTCCTGGAGACCCTGTCGTAGAAGGGTGGGGCCCACATCCTTCCCCAGCCAGCGCTGGTCCTGGCCACTCTGGACATGAGGTTTCAGCTCTGAGGCTGGCCAGGAACTGTCTGCCTGTATCTCCACCCCAAACCCCCTGCCTCCCAGACGTCTCCAGTTCTGTGTCGGAGTTCACCTCCCTCGGGTTCCAGGACCTCACATCACGCCCCCTGGAGTACCCTACAAGGAGATGCCAGCTTCACACGCAAAGAACACTCCTCTCTCCAGCCCCACCGAGGCCCCCCTAATTTTCCTGTCCACTCCAAACAGGCGCACCCCGCGCCCTGCGCCTGCCCCTGCCCACTTCTCCCCGCCTTTGGGCACCGACTTCTCCCACTCTAGGCACCTTCCTGCCCCAGGGCCTCCCCCAAGCCTCGCCTTCTGCCTAGAGTCTTGTCCTCCGAGTCTCTGCACCGCTCTCTCCTTCACCTCTTTCAGGCATTGCTTCGGCGTCACCTCCTCAGAAATGACCCCCAGGACCCCTGGGACAGTTTACAAGCTCTCCTTAGGGCTGCACAGTCTGTGGGTACCTTGTTCTGTCTTCACCATCCGTTTCCCCCGCACAGTTGTCATCTCCAGGAGGCAAGGACTTTGTCTTCTGTTTCTTCCTCCCCCGTCTCCCCAGCGTCCCCCACACCGGGTCTGGTACCGCACGGCCGGCACGCAGTAAATACTCAACATACACCACCTTCTCGTTACCTAGCAGTAACTTTCCAAGACCTCATCTCCAGGCCCTGGAAGCGACTTCGAGGAGAAGGCGCGGCGGATGGGGACTTCGACTGGGCCAGAGCCCCGGGAGACGTGCTCTGGGCGCTGGCTAGGCACGTCACGGAGGCTGCGGCGCAGGCGACAGTGGTGCCAGCCCCGGCGGATCTCTGTCTGCACCTGCAAAGGCGGGTCTCAGTGGCGGCGCCGTTCCCCGCACGACCGCCAGAGGGCGCGGGCGGGGCTCGCTTACCTCCTTGTTGATGAAGCAGTAGAGGACGCTGACCAGGAACCCCTGGCGGAGGAGGGGCGTGGGTTAGATTGCTAGGCAGGAACGGCGGCATTGTAACCACCCCTTAATGTGCACCAACTCTTGCCCAGCCCCAGGGAGTTTTGGAAGTCTCCACCCTAATCCTAATCTTACCAGGCCAGATTGCTGCGCAACAGAGACATGGCAGCAGGCGGCCTGAGTGTGAAGACCCCCTTCCCTACTTGCGCTTTCTAGGCAAGCTGCTTAGCCTCTTTGTGCCTTAGTTTCTTCATGTGGAAAGTGGGCCAACTATTTTACAACCCAGTGGTAGTTGTGAGATTTAAAGTACTATTAATATGCAATAAACTGAAGCACCTGGCATATAGCCTGCAGGCCTGCGCCACCAAGCACAGCCTCAATCAACGACTCAGCGCGCCCTAGAGGTGGAGCCGGCACAGCACGCCAGGGATCTAACGGCAGACGCTTTAGTCCACTGAGTATCTGACCAACCTTTGTTTGTTTGTTTTGGAGACACAGTCTTCCTGTGTATCCCAAGCTGGCCTCAAACTCGCAGTGATCCTCCTGCCTCAGCCTCCCCAGAGCTGGAATTACAGTTGTGTGCTACTATGCCTGACCACAAATTAATTAATTAAAAGTCACCAAACAGAGGTGGGCTCAGTCTCCAAGGCTCCCTCACTTACCTGTCCTCGTTCCCCACTTCTGGTCTCTGGGTCTGGAGCTGCAGGGGCCCTGGCCTCCCTGCATAATGCTGCTACTCCTCTGGCCTCATGCCGACTGTGTCTCTTCCCGGAGCATCCCCAGATATCTGCTGGCTGTGCCTCACCTGTTCAGCTCCCTGCTCCAGTGCCCCCTCAGGAAGACCTTCCCTGACCCCTTGTCCAAATACCACGCCCAGGCTGGGGATATAGCTCTTTGGCACAAGTGCCTGCCTGGCAAGTGCAAGGTCCTGAGTTCGATTCCCAGTACCAACTAAACAAATACCACCCCGAGCCAGGGAGATAGCTTAGTGGTATAAACACCTGCCTGGTGAGTACAACGGGATTGTGTTCAATCCCTGGTACAAAAAAGAAAAAAAAAAAAAAAACACTCCCAGCTTTCCCTGGATACCCTCGACCACCAACTAGGACCTTAACACTGAGCTGCATCCGCCACCCTGAAAAAATATTTTCTTTGGACATGCTAAGTGTCCCAGGCTGGGCTCCTGCCTCAGCCTCCCAGAATGCTGGAATTGCAGGTCTGCAACACAACACCACGCTGCATTTCTTACACTGCCCCCCACATCTGCCATGACATTGTATACATGGTGTGTTTAATGTCTATCTGTCTCCCAAAGGGGAGAAGTCAGAACCTCTTGGCTCTTGGCTATTTCTCTCCTCCATAAGCCCGGAAGTAAGTGCTCAACAGGGCCATGGATATAGCTCAGCGGCACAAGTATCAGCCTGGCAATCAAGATATCCTGAGTTCGATTACTGGTACCAATGAATAAATAAAGTACTCAATAATTTTTTGCAGAATTTGATGGACAGTCCTGTGAGGTTAGACTGGCATGTGACAAGACTGAGGCCAACAAGGTGAAGCAAAAAGTGGGGACTGAGTCAGGGCAAGTAAGTGCAGCACTGGCTTGAATTTTAAAAATCTAAGCTTATGGGGCCAGGGAGATGGCTCAGTGGAATAAGTGCTTCCCAGGCAAGCACAAGGGCCTGAGTTCAATCCCCGGTTCCGGAAAAAAAAAAAAAATCTAAGCTTAAATTGGAGCACTTCCTTATTTCTACACCTGAGGCACCTCACTCCCCTCATCCTACTCTTGGCCCAGAAGTGAAAGCTGCATAGCTGATAAGCTCCTCGGAAGTGACAGAACCTGAATTTGATCCCAGCTGTGGGGTCAAAGCCTGGAGTCTCTTCTTCTCAGTACTGCTGGGGTTTGCGGTCTCCAGTCTCAGTCCAACTGCCTCCGGGGCTCAGTACTTTGCATCGTGTACTTTAAAGAATAAAAGTGGGCCGGGGAGATGGCCCCCAGTTCAGTAGAATAAGTGCTTGCCTGGCAAGCACAAGGGCCTGAGTTCAATCCCCGGTTCCGCAAAAATAAATAAAAATAAAGAATAAAAGCATAAACTCCCAAGTCACACCCAACTGGGGGCGGGGGACTGCAGCCCGCGCCTGGAGCTCCTGCAGCCTGAAGTCTCTGCTCAGCCCGAGTACCTGGAAGGAACTGAGGAAGATCTCGAAGGCCAGCTTGGCAAAGCGCAGGGTACCCCGGGCCTGTTCCTCGGTCACTGGAGCGAACACCACCTCATGCACGCCCAGCAGAGGCACCAGCGTGAGCGTGGAGCGAGCCAGCCTGAGGACAGAGGGTGGCATTGGTTCCCAGGCTCGGGGCCGGCATCTTGCACCCGGTTCCCCTCTTCCCGGGATCCCCTCTCCCACCTCAGTCGATAATCCGGACAGCGCATCTGCCGCGTCCTCAACTTGGACACGAGGATGCCAAGAATACGCATGAAGATGAGGAAATTAATCTGTGAGGAAACAGAGGCTGAGCCAGACCCGACCGATTCTAGCGGCAGGAGGTGGCTCCCCTCTTCCCAGAATGGAAAATCTTTGAGGACTGTCTGGAGGGAGTGGAACCGGCCATACCAAGATGGTTAATAGGATGGGAGTGCGTATGATCCACCAAATGGCCTTGACATCATTCCGCTCCCAGCACCTGAGGGGGGCTGGGTATAAGTAAAAACTCTACACATGTTGGGCATCGCGAAGCTTTCACAGCCCGGGCCTCGCCCACATCATCTAAGACCCACCCCCATTCCTTTATACGCTCCGCCCCTTCCCCGGAGTAGGGTGCACAAACTTCCCCAGCTCCGCATTCCGTCAGACTCAGCCCACATTTGCTCCGCGCAGCCCAAATTCAGACCCCGCCCACGTCCCTCAAAGCTCCGCCCCCTCCCAGGCCCCGCCCCAGACCCTGCAACTTACTGTGTGTTCTCGTACAGGTACCTGACGATCACCCAGGGAATGACGAAAAGCGCGGGGGCCCCTGTGCAGACCCCGACCCCGCCCCCCACCCCGCCGCAGCCGTCAGCGTGCGCACTGGTCCCGCCAGGCCCACGACCCGCGGGATTCCTCTGCCGGGGAGGGGAGGCAGAAGCCTGGAGAGGAAGGAGACCCCCCTGAGGTAGACCAGTTGGGCAGTGGGGAGCTGAGGCGCGCTGGGCTGGGCGGGGTCAGGTTCGGGGCTCACCCCAGCCGAGGAGCAGGTAGCCGCAGAAGTGGCCTTCCTCCGAGCCCCCCACGAGCACCAGCAACCGGTGCAGGTACAAGCCCTCCACCAGCAGCCACGTGTAGTTGGCACCCACGCAGTACTGGGTCATGATCTGGGCCGTGCGGCAGGCAGCCAGGGCCTAGGTCGGACGGGGGCAGGGGGCAGTCGGGGAGGCGGGGGTCTCCCACTCCCATCTCTTGTCATCAAATATTCTCCCAGCCAATATCCCTACTGGTTGGTTTCTCTCGTTCTATTCTCTTTCCCTATCTGGCCATTCTGATCATCTTTACAGTTGTCACCTTCCTTTTGTCACCAGAGTCCCTCTTCCAGAACCTCCAAATATGGCCTACGCCACACTGCCTCCTAAGAACGGAACTTAAATGATAGTTTATGGACTCTCCTACCCCATTTACAAGTGGTATGGCCCAATTTGCTTCCAGCCTCTAGTTGTCTCCCTCTTCTAGTAAACGAGATAGTACCTCCCACCTCACCACCCATCTTATTTCTCCCATCCATCCTGGTCCCCCTCACCACCTCTCATTGATGGAAAAACTCAAACATAATTGAGATTAAGAGAAAAAGAGAGGGCTGGTGAGATGGCTCAGTGGTCTAAAGCACCTACTTAGAACAAGCTTAGCAAAGCACAGGGACCACAGTTCAATCCCCCAGCACCACAGGCCAGCCAGCCCCGCCCCCTGGTGGGCTGAGCTGGCTACACACGCACACACACGCACACACACACACACACACACACACACACACACACACCCCCCTTAAGAAAAAGAGAGACTAGAAAATTCCAGTAAGGGAGGTAGGCGGAGCTCAATGGTGGAGGAGGCTTTGAGTTGGGAGTGTCTGTCTCCACACATGTAAGTATTAAGTGGACCAGGTCCTCCTGGGAGAGGGGGGAGGCAGGTTCCCCTTAGGAGGAACAGAAGGAGGAGGCCCACCTTGTTCCATAGGGTAGGGGTCTGATCCCCAGGGTAGGGCCGCGGGGGAGGCAGCAGTCGGTCTCGAGTGAGGATGGCTGCCGCGCGGAGCATGAAGGATGCGAACAGGTTGATGTGGATGTAATTACGAGTGCAGTGGAGCCGCCTGTGAAATTTGAGAGGTGACCCGGGGATCCCTGAAGAGCTGTCCTCTGCCACACGAAGCTGCTTTTCCTTTTTTTTTTTTTTTTTTTGTCTTTTTGAGACAGGGTCTCACTATGCAGTTCAGCCTGGCCTTGAGCTCACTTTGTAGCCCAGGCTGACTCTGAACTCACAATGATTCTCCTGCCTCAGCCTCCCAAGTGCTGGGATCACAGGTGTGCACCACCATGCCCAGCTCAAATGAAGTTCCTTTGAACTTCATCTACCAATCCTTCTAGAACCATCCAAGGATGCTTAGAACTGGTGAAACCCACTGCCCTATCTTATTGGGAAGGCTGTGGCTCACCTCTCTACCACCACCACCAGGGCTGGGGGTCCCACCTGAAGAAACTCAAGATGAGCAGGGCTAGCAGCAGTGTGGCCAGGGACAGGGAGTACCCAATGGTGTACACAACCTGCAGCCGCTCCAAGAGCAGCCTCTGGTCCTGGTGGGGATAGGAGAACACAGAATGAGGCTCTTGGAGCCGGGGAGATAGCTCAGTAGAATAAGCATTTGCCTGGCAAGCACAAGAGTTCAATCCCTAATACCGCAAAAACAAACAAACAAACAAACAAACAAACAAGAATGAGGCTCTTCCCACAGGGCCAGGCAGGGGCTTCCCAGTGCCTCAATTTTCCTTTGTGCTCCTGCCCAACAGCCCTCTTTTCTCCTGAGCTACCACCTCCCCTTGTTGGCGTGGGGCTGATCCTGCTTCAGCTTGAGGGCTGGGGTGTTACCAGCCAGTGCGAGCCTTCTGTCTAACACACACCCACCCACTTGCAGATTCACCTAGGCAGGCCACAAGACTCAAGCCAGGACACTGTCAGTCCTGGGATGTGATGTTGGGGTCGAGAAGAAAGCTTGATCTTCCCAGGATCACTGGCTGGTAGGCTATGAATCTGGTATTAATGAGGAGCACTTTTTCCACCCCACATAAAAGATAAAGCTAGCACAGAGGAAAATGGGCATTATATGGTGAGAGATGGGCTGGTGAGATGGCTCAGTGGTCTAAAGCACCTACTTAGAACAAGCTTAGCAAAGCACAGGGACCACGGTTCAATCCCCCAGCACCACATGCCAGCCAGCCCCACCCCCTGATGGGCTGAGCTGGCCACACACGCACACACACACACAAATAAATAAAGTTTAAAAAAAATGTTATATGGTGAGAGATGATTCCCCACCATGTCATTTGAGCACCTAGGTCTCCCAGTGCCTGAAGCTGTTGCCTTACACCGGGTTTTCATTTTTTTTAAAAAAAATATTTATTTATTTGTGTGTGGGTGTGTGTGGCCAGTTCAGCCCACCAGGGGGCGGGGCTGGCTGGCATGTGGTGCTGGGGGATTGAACCATGGTCCCTGTGCTTTGCTAAGCTTGTTCCAAGTAGGTGCTTTAGACCACTGAGCCATCTCACCAGCCCCGGGTTTTCATTTTGAAGCTAGTGTTTCTCCTTTCCTCCTGTAAGCAAGTCCCAGTTGGGTTTCTATTACTTGGAAGCCCAAGCCCTGAGCTGTATGAGGGACTTCCTGTCCTTTCATTTTTCCCTAGACATCAAAACCCAGACCCCTGCTCTCTTATTACCTGAAACACCCCATTCTTCTCTGGGTCCTCACACTGAGTGTGGTCTCTCCAAGGTCCCCACTGCCCATCACTGCCACACTGGCGGAGGACGAAGCCTGTAGCCACTGTAGGAGGACAAGGGAGGGGATCAAAGGCACAGAGAGAGGTGGACACCGACTGTAGGATGTCACAGGCCTGTGTGCATCTTACCCAATCAGTGTTTGTTCAAACTCACCAGAGTGGTATAACCATTAATTCCATTTTATATATGGGAAATGGAGGGACAAAGAAGGTAAATACACTACCTGAAGCTGCATAGTCAGTGAGGCCAGGAAGACCAAACGGAAGAAAACAAAAAAACAGGGAGGAAAAGCCTCAAAATGAGATAAAACAAGAACCCTACAGTTCCGAGAGACATGAGGGGACACAGGAAGGGCAAGGGACAGAAACAGGAGAGTGTGTGCGAGCTGCAGGGTAGTGGTGCCCGGGCATATGGGACTCTGGGAGTGCTCACCGTGCTGGTGCCAGGGCAGGTACCAGGGACACGACGCACGGGCTGTGGTGTTGGGAGCAGCGTAGTCCCAACAGACATACATATCGAAAGATCCGTTGCAGGTAAGGCCTGGGGGGTAGATATGGGGACCAGATGCAGGGTGAACCTACTGTGCGGCGGGACCAGGCTTCTCGCTCACGTCAGCCCCGCCCATCGGGCCAGCCCCGCCCACCAGCCTTTACTCTCCCCCCCACCTTCCTAGCTGCTTTATTTTTTTAAAATTTTATTTATTTATTTATGTGTGTGTGTGTGTGTGTGTGTGTGTGGCCAGCTCAGCCCACCAGGGGGCGGGGCTGGCTGGCATGTGGTGCTGGGGGATTGAACCGCGGTCCCTGTGCTTTGCTAAGCTTGTTTTAAGTAAGTGCTTTAGACCACTGAGCCATCTCACCAGCCCATCCTAGCTGCTTTAGCTTGGGCTCCTCCGATCAAGGAGGTTTCTTTCCCCCTAGGAGGACTGTCCCACCCCAAAATCTCTTCTGTTTCCAGCTTCTTCCCTGAACTCTCCTACTTTTTGTTTTTGAAACAGGGTCTCTATTTTTTGTTTGTTTGTTTGGTGGAACTGGGGATTGAACTCAGGCCCTTGTGCTTGCCAGGCAAGCGCTTATTCTATTGAGCCATCTCCCCGGCACAGGACAGGGTCTCTATATAGTGCCAACTGGCCTTGAACTCACTACATAGCCCAGGCTGGCCTCGAACCCCCGGCGAGGCTCCTGCCTTAGCCTCCCAATGCTGGCCTTACAGACATGCGCCACCACACTGGTTCTCAGAGTCTTCTGCTGATCTGGGTCCCACTCCAGCCCTTACCGCCCTCAGGCCAGCTCCAGCCCCAGCCCCAGCCCACATCCAACCCAGATTCTCTTCTTTCAGATCCCGCCCCAGACCCCACCCTCAGCCTTGGGCCCGCCCCCAGCCCAGCCCTAGGCCTCAGCTCCGCCCGCACCCCAGCCCCCAGCCCTGGAGTTAACCTGAGGGCGGCTCCGCGGCATCCAGGGTCTCCTGGCATTCCCGTCGGTACTCTTCCCATTGTTGGTATAGCCCCCCCACCGTCTGTGCCCCAGAGCCTGTCTAGGAGACAAGAGAAGGAAGGACCCCCCAGGCGGACCCCCTCTCCCAGGCAACTCAGCTAACGAGGGCCGCGAACACCCTACACAGAAACTCTCGGAGGGGCTGTTTCTTTTCGTTTTGTTTTGTCTTTGAGACAGGGTCTCGCTATGCAGTTCAGGGAGGCCTTGAGCTCACTTTGCAGCCCACACTGGTTTCGAACTCGCAAGGATCCTCCTGTCTCAGCCTCCGGAGTGCTGCGACTGCAGGCGTAAGGCAATCTTGGGTAGCCTAAAAACCTCTGAGGGGTGTCTAGAAACAGCCAAAGGATTTACTACAGGAGACTGCAACCTTCCAGGAAGGTTGAAAAGGGCATGGTGACTGCCCCTTCAGGAGGATTTGTAGGGGTCGGGGAGCACAGGAAAATATCGAAACTTGAGTCTGAGCAAGCGGGGCAAAACTTAGTGAGAGGCCCTTCCCCAAAGTGAACTTCCGTGTCTATGGGTCCTCACCTGCGCCCTCCGGAGTGGCAGTCCCCACAGCGACAGCAGCAGCAACACCCGCAAGGGCCAAGAGTTCAGCATTGTGAAGGCGGAGAAGGGTCTGGAGGATCCCAGGGCCAAGTCATCCCCTTGTCCCTCGCCCTGGGTCTCTAACCTTAGCGCTCACCTGCCTTAGGGATTCCTGCAGGTGCGCGGGAGGCCAGGCCTCTGGAGATCTGGGCCGGGGCGGAGCCTGCTGGTGGGTGTGGCCAAATCTCACGCCCCGCTGCCCCGGCCTCCCCCAACTGTTGCTGGGGCAGCGGCGGTGGAAGGGAGGGTGTTTGCAGAGGGGGCTGTTGCCCTAGAGCTGCGCTGGGCAGAAGCGTTAATGTCACCCAAAGCCTAGACTTAAGAGACCCCGGGAGAGCTGGGTATTACCAAAGAGAAGAGAGAATAGAAACTGTCAGCCTAGCCAGGAGGGGAGCTTGCAAGACACATTTGAGTTTTCACTCGATCAGCCCAAGGGGCCTTCCAGTTGCAGGTAGGACCCCCGACCTTACAAAACTTTCTCCGATATGGTCAGATCAAGCCTACAGTCAGCGTGACAACCCCTCCCAACATCCAGACACTTAGAGACCAGAGAGGCATCAAACCCTGGGCTTAGATCTGCAGGGGTCCAGATACCTGAAAATCCTTTATTTTAAACCCCAGTACTCCCTGTCAACTCCCCGGGGCCACTGTGTAGGAGAGGGGGCCGCCAGGAGGATCTGAGACAGATTCCCAGATAGACAGCGCAAGAGACACAAAAGAAGAAATAGACTCCAAGAGGGAGTGACAATGAGACACAGCAAGAGACCAGAAACCGAAGGACAGAGAAAGAGACAAAAATGAGAGCTAGGAGACAAAAAAGAGGTAGGGACAGGTAAGGAGACAATAGCGGAAGAGACCTGGAAGCGTAGAAATAAAGCCCTCTGGATGCTCAGCAGAGACGGAGACGTAAAGACAGAGACACCAAGAGACAGACACGGAGACAGGGGACAGGGAGGCGGGAGACAAAGGTGCAGGGTGAGAAGGAGCCCGAGCTGGAAAGGGTCCCAGAGGCCCAGAGTAGAGGCGGGGGCGGGGGTGCAGCAGCCTCACCTGTCCCCAGTCCTGCTCCTGGTCACTTCCTCTGCCTCCGCCACTGCTGCCTCTGGTGCTTGCCTGTGCTCTGGAAGAGGTGACTGGCGCTGGCGGCCGGCCGGGGGGAGCCCTGGGCGGTGGGAGGGGGCGGGGCCAGGGCGGAACCGAGGCCGTGGCGAGGAGCTGGGGCAGGGAAGGAACAGGGGGCCTCAGTTGCCCCCGTCGCTGTGAGCAGCAGCAGCAGTGCAGTCAGTCGCTGTCACATGGGAGAGGAGTCGCAGTCTGAGGACCCCCACCCGGGACACATAATCTCCCGCCTCCACTGGGCCCTCAGGCCACAGAGCACACCCTCCCATGCAGCCTCTTACACACAGGGCCACAGCCGCACAGAAGTGTCACACACAGCCCCTCTGAGGGGCTTAGGCACAGAAGCCCGCGCACTGTTCCTCGGAGGCACGCGTTCATTCACTGGAGTGTGCCGCTGCCATCCATGCCCAGAGAGCCAGTCTCTCACCCACTGGGTGGCAGCCACCCCCAAGGTGACACAGAGGCCTATGTGGTGTGCGCTGGACTCCTACACACACACACACACACACACACACACAGCCAGTGTCCTACAGGCGGTGGGATGTTGCCCGTGACACACTCATTTTCACACTCACTTGTAGCTCAGAGCAGGAGTTCCAGGGATGATGTCACCTGGTTGACATATGCCCAGGTTGTGGGGCTGCTCACAGGGCAGTGCAGCTGTCTCCCAAGTCCAAAGTCACAGGCAGGGCTAGGGGTCCGCACAGCCGCACACACTGCAAATGACCTCCAGAGTCCACAGTGGTACCCCAAAACACACTCCCCAGCATCCCTCGGGCACATGCGTTCCCAAGCTCCCACACAGTCACTTGTACTGATGTGGTCACACAGATGCACGACTCTCCACGACAGTCGCAGCTGCACCCACAAGCCGCACACCTTCCAACAGGCATCGCACATGTGGTCCCGCCAGCACACGCCAACCCACAGCCTCACTGGGTCTCATGGCCATGGTGACCGCTGGGTCCTGCAGGTTTCCATTCTCTGCTTCCTGGCTCTTCCTCTGCCCTGTGTGGAGAGCATCAGTCCACGGGGAGGCTCAGAACCCGGTCCCCGCTCTCAGGCCCTCACCCCCCTTTCACACATATCACTGCCTCTTGCTCATCAATCACACCATAAGCGAGCGTGACCACACACTCCCCCGGGACCAGAAGATACGTGGGACAGAGGAGACCCTGCCCAGCTGCAGAGGAGAAACTGAAGCCCAGAGGCCTTGGAGGGGTGGGCACCAAGGGGTGGTGAGGGCCACACCACAGGCTGGAAGGAAATGAGTGAGGGGTGCAGGGGGCCTAGCCAGGGCCTAGCCACTGGGCCCTCCCTGCCCTCTGGCCCACATTCCTGGCGCCCTCCGGGTCCTGGGAAAGCTCATTCTGAAGTGGACAGGGAAGAGGGTCTGAGATGGCCCGGCACCTCAAGGAGAGGCTGGCTGGGAAGGAGTCGCCTAAGCCCCGAGAGGGTGGAAGGGTCACTGCCCTATGGGGGGAGGGGAAGCAGGGGTGAGGAGCTGAGGAGGTGTGAGAGACAGGAAGAGAAGAGAGAGCTGGAAGGGGAGAAAAGCGGGAGAGGAGCAGACAGGCAGAGGAAAGGAAGGGGGAAGGGGAAGGGAAGGAACTATTGCTGACAATCCCAGCACTCAGGAGGCTGAGGCAGGAGGATCACTTCTTGGGCTACATAGCGAATTCAAGACCAGCCTGAACTGCATGAAGAGAGCCTGTCTCAAAACGTTAAAGGCAGGGAGGGAGAGAAAGGAAGGAAAGAGGAGAGGAAAGAAGGGTGAGGAGCAGGAGAGAGCTAGGAAACGGAAGTGGACAAGTGGGGCAGTGTTACTGGGAGTCTGTAGGCCAGGCCAGAATGAAATATGTCTGCGCCTGGCCTCCTCGCCCCTTCGGGGCACACAGGCAGGGAAGGAGGGCAGATACCCGGGTGAGTCTCTGACTGGCCCTGCTCAGCTCTCTGGGGAGGGAACAGCAAGTCCCATGCTCAGGACTTCAGGCAGCCAGGAAGCCTGGCGGTGCTTTTCTGGCAGGCAACATGTGCCACAGCCCTGCTGCGTGGGGGACCCAGGGACCCCACTCTGCTGTGCCTGCCTCCCACTCCCTCTCCCCTGCCCCAGCCTCCCTTCCTTCTGCTGCCCCTCTCTGCACCGGCCCCTACCTGCGGTCTCCTCCTTTACTATGAACCCACCGTCCGCACTGCCTGGGCTTACAAAACTGTCTCTCCCCACTGCACCTCCTTTCTTTCCCTGGCTGGCTGTCTCATTCTGTCCCTTCCTCCCTTCTGTCACCTCCTCTTTCCTCCACCTGGTCCCCCCTTGCCAGCCTTTAGAAACTTTCTCCTCTCTTTCCTCCCTTCCCATCTTCTCTTTGGGTGCCTGCCTGCCTGCCTGCCTGCCTGCCTGTCTGTCTGAGTCACCCTCTCCATTGTCCCCAGGCCTGAGCTCTTGGCTCTGGTCACTCGCCCTCCACCCTCAGCACCGATCAGCAGGATGGAGGCCGAGAACTGTGTCTGCCCCATGGGGCCGCCTGGTGAGCAGCGCCTGCCTTAGGGGAGCTGCAGGAGCCTGGGGTGCGGGCAGATGGTACAGGAGAAATGAGGCAGAGAGATATGGGAAAAGGGGGCGCCCCATGGGGACCAAGGCCAGAACTGGGAGGCTGCGCAGGCCCCCTGAGATTCAGGACTGTGGGGAAGGAAGCCGGAAAGCCAGCAACCCTGAGAATGACACACACAAAGATGGAAAGACAGAGAGAGAGGTGGTAAGAGAGAGACAGGAGACAGCCAGGGGACGACATGCCACCACCACAGGGCAATGGAGACCTAGACCCAAAGAGACAAGAGCCAGGAGACAAACCAAAGGGAGTGTGACACATGGAGACACAGAAACTCAAAGATGGAAGAGACCCCTAGCTATCTAGAGATGGAAACTTGAAGAGAAAAGCACACATGGGCGGGGAGATAGCTCAGTAGAATAAGTGCTTGCCTGGCAAGCGCAAAGGCCTGTGTTCAATCCCCGGTTCTGAAAAAAAAAAATAAAATAAATAAATAAATAAATAATAAAGCACATAAAATATAGGGGTTCAAAGAGGGGGAGGAGGACTTAGAAAAACAAAAACAGAGGGGGAGGGGGACCCAGAGAGGGTGAAGGACAGAGAAAAACCCAAAGAAACAAGATTTAAGAAACAGGATGGGTGTGGAGGTGCATACTTAGGATTCCAGCACTAAGGGAGGCTGAGGCGGGATTTCAAGTTTGAGTCCAAGCTGGGCAATTCAGGGGCTTAGCAAGACCCTGTCTGAAAGAAGAAATAAAAATGGGCTGGGGATGTAGCCCAGTGTGGAAGCTTTGGCTTCGCTCGGCCTCTTCTGGGACTTGGGATTGGGGGAGGGCGGTGCTCGTCTCCATAGCGACCGCCCCAGATGCTGAGGGCAAATATTGTCCTGGCCACAAGCAGCGGACGATGTTGACATAATCTGGAGCTGGGTGAGGTGGGGGTGTGGTGTCCAGGGGCCCAGAGGCAAGGATGGGGGTTCGCAAAGCAGAGGGCCTCTCTGGGGTCCTCCAGGCAGCTCCACCCTCTGCACCTCCAAATCCTGAGTGCACAGGCCCCCTGGCCAGCCGGCGCTGAGTCAGTCCTGTGGGGGCTCTCTGCTGCCCCCTGTTGGTAGCGGACAAGCCTTGAAGCAGCTTCGCTCTCATCTAGTCCTTCCTGTGCTCCGCACAGCCAGGGCTCCCCGGTTTTTTTTGTTTTTTGTTTTTTGTTTCTTCCTTATTAGACTAGGAAATATAATTTATTTCATAAAAATTAATTTTGTGGGGCTGGGGAGATGGCTCAGTAGAACAAGCACTTGCCTGGCAAGAGCAAGGGTCTGAGTTCAATTCCCAGTTCTGCCCCCCCCCAAAAAAAAGATTAATTTTGTTACAATAGGAATTTTATTTTATTTATTTATTTTTTTTTTGTGGAACCGGGGATTGAACTCAGATCTTTGCGTTTGCCAGTCAAGTGCTTATCCTACTGAGCCATCTCCCCAG